CTACTGCCCGCCTCATCTCTTCTTCATCTTCTGGAAGTGTTTCACCCATAGCATGAGCAATCTTCTTTTGTAATTTAGCAACATTGAGAGGGTATGATACAGTAACCCAAATCACATTCTGAAACTTGCTGCCTATCAACAAATCATTGTTAACATGCTTCATGATTGTAGTTTTACCAACTCCACCAATCCCACAAACTCCAATCATTCCAACCTCATCACCCATCAAGTACTCCCAAATTTTTTCTTCAGCAGAAATTTCACCCTCTAAATTCTCTGTTGGAATTATGATTCCTTTGGCATGAGCTCTCGCAATTACAAGGCCTTCTGTAAAACTACCTTGTTCATGGATTGCTTTTACCATAGCAATTTTCCTACGAACATGTTTCCCAAGACAAGATTTCATGCACCATTTAACTCTCTGCACCTTTTCTGAAATAACTTGGGCGTCATCATTGATGGTTTCTACATGTTGAAACCAACCTTGCACTTCTTCCTTCACCATTTGTCCCGCACAAGCCTCTGCTTGGATTCTTGATTCAATATCTTGCTCTCGTCTATTTAGATCTCCCAATTTGCCTCTCAACTCATTCACATCATCATCAAAATTCTTGTAATGATCAACATAGTTGCAGGTTGGAGTGGCAATGCAATTCAATATTTCAAGGAGTGCCCCCACAATATCCGCCATTAAGAAAAGGTACTGAAAATTTAATAAATAAGTAGAGATCAACATGTGCTTCTTCAGGTGCCCATCAAAAAAAGATCTAGAGCTAGTATAAATACATAAATTTAAATTTAATAAATTACCAATTCCATGTCAATTTCCAACCAAAGGATGTTAAAATTTTACATTAGCAAAGGACATGGAAACAATTAGCATATATAAATAAAGTTCTAATTATTTTCATTGGCTTCAAAGGATGTTTTTATTTTCATTTTGCCATTATTTTTGGCCACGGTAGTTTAAAAATTACCAATTCCAAGATAAATTCCTATACCAAGAAATTGAAATTTACAATTTTAACTTTTTTTTTATAGAATTTGATCAAAGAATAACAAAGATCACCAACCAAACAAGCCTAACTCTAAGAGATATAGCTCTATATTAATTTACTTGAAAGTGCCCCAAAAAGAAAAAAGAGACCTCATAACATTATCAATTAAAGTAGTTACTAATAAATTAGGTAAAAGAGAAAAATATGAAATTAAGAATTTGACAAGAATGAAGAAAACATTAAAAGAGTCTAATTAGCAATACGGTGATGAATTAATCCATAAGAAACACTATATATTTTCCTTTCCTTTTATTATTATTATTATGATTTTTTCTGATCTTTTTTCCTTTCTTTTCCTTTCATATATCAAAGAAAACATAAACAAAATCAAGATTAAAGATCTAGAAGGATAGACTATACCTAAAGGTTTAGGAAAAGGTGGACACCGATAAGTAACTTAGGCCTAGGAAAACAAATTCCTAGAAATGGCAGCAGGTTCAATTTAGGTATACATACTGTAAAGAGAACATATTATATATATATATATATATATATATATATAACAAAATATATAACAAAATTAACATTGAAGATCAATAGCAAGATAGTTTACCTGCTGCTGGCAGAAAGGAAGTTGTACACTGATAACAAAACTGATTCTTTCTGATTCAATAAGAAGCATCAATTGCAAGACTGATTCTTTTTAATTCTGATGAGAGAAGTTGATGGAGCCAACTACTGGGACGAAAGAACTTAAATAGGAGGCATGTCAAAGGTGTGGTTTTTTTTTTTTTTTTTTTTTTTTTTTGGCACAGCAAAAGGTATTTATTAAGTAATAAAAGGGAGTACAAGGGGTACTCCAACCCGTTACACTACAAACCAATACATAGCAAAATAGGGAGGAAAAGCATGAGGCCAATACTTGATCCTTTAGCTAAGAACAGTAGATAAGGATCACCTTAAGGCTGTCATGGATCCACCCCTAGCCCCCGTCCTGCAGCACTATAGTTTTCTCCCCTTTTATCTTTCAAGCATTCCATAGGTTCCAACATCCAATTGCATAGATTAAAAGAGAACCCTACTGTTCTGTTTTTGATCCATTGGAATGTCCGCAGGTGCACCAACTCAAAAATCCTATTGACATCTTGCTCATGGTTTCTGAAAGCCCTTTCGTTTCTAGCAATCCATATAGACCAGATTGTTGCACACCAGACTGCATCCCAACCTGCCCTGATGTTTACATTTTTAAAGGAGGCTAATTGTTGTTCAAAAGATGCATAGCAATTGTCAGCTCTAATAGATGAAATTCTCCACCATTGGAGACATTTGGACCACACTGCATATGCAAACTTGCAATGAAGAAATAGATGATTTATATCTTCAATACTCTCATTGCATAACATGCATGTAGCTAGATTGAGATCTGGAACAATCCCTCTCTTATACAGATTCACCTTGGAGGGTATTCTATCTTGTAGGACTTTCCAAACAAAGGCACATATTTTTGTGGGGACTAGCCTGCACTAAATTCTTTTATACAAGTTGTTCCTACTCTATTGGTGGTTGTTGGAAAGAGCTTGATATCCCAATTTAGCTGAATAAATACCTTGATCATGCCTCCACTCCCATCGATCTTTTTGTCCCTTAATTGGTTGGATAGTCTGCAACATCCTCCACAGCTTCGCCATCGAGTGTTCCTCCCAGGAGAAGTTAGGTCTCCTCCATTCTAATGACCAATTCCAGCTTCCATTGCTCCAGAATCCCATTTGAGAAATGCTCTTTGTTCTGCCTAAAGAATTCAAAAAGAGTCTGGGAAATTTATTAGCTAGTGACTCGTCCCCAATCCAGACATCCTCCCAGAATTTAACAGAATTACCCTCTCCCAACTTTAGTTTAAAGCCATCTAAGAGCCAGTCAACTCTACTTGTGCACGAATAATCTAATCTACATACATCCCTCCACCATAAGGACCCCTTCTGGTTCCCCTCTTCAATCCAATTCAACCAATTACCTCCACTACTACCATATTTCTCACGAATAACCCTATATAGAAGACCTTCCTCTCCCTCCGCCAATCTACTCCACCACTTGCCTAACAACGCTAAATTAAACTTTCTAAGATCCTTCACACCTAACCCACCATCAAATTTACTTCTACACACATTTTCCCAACAAACCCAATTGATCTTCCTATTGTTCGCTCCACCCCCCAAAGAAAATTTCTACGTATTTTATCAAGTAAAAGAATCAAACCTTTAGGCAGCAAGTGAACAGACATCAAAGGTGTGGTTATTACCACTAATAGAATTGTTAACACTATTAAATTTGTATTTAATTTTATTGATATTTGTAGCTTTTTCCTTGTTTGGAGTTTTTTGGGAAAGGGTGGAAAGAGGACCTGGGAACCCATTTTTCTTCATTATCTTCTGCCATGATATAGCAGAAACCTCATAATACATAAATACTAACTTCTACTTAATGCAATAAATTTTTCTACGTAACACATTGATTATTTGTGCAACTCCATGTGACTGTCACTTTTGCTACTGTGGTATTGGTTCAGTTCACACTTCTATTCATTTTGCCGCTATTATATCGCAGTTTTGACACGATAACTTCAATATTTTCAAATAGAGAATTATAATTTTTAAAAATATTAATTTATAAATTACTTTTAATTTAATAAATAATAAATAATTATTATTTTTAATAATCAAATAAAATATAATTAATATTCTTAACACAATTTTAATAATTTTAATAATTCAATTAGTGGCATGACCACACCGGCAAGTCTAGAGGATATTCCCAGAAGATGCATTAGCAGAAGTCACTCAATTAAGATTGAGCTTGCACAGTCATCATCAAGAAATGTCCTATCATCGAAAACTAGCAAACAAAATTACATAACTACCCTTACGCAACCTTCTCATTTCTCTTACCTCCGGTATCCGATCACTCCTCTCTCTCTCTCTCTCTCTCTCTCTCCCTTCCATGATTTCTTCTTGGTTAAAACCTCAATTTGTCCCTCATCTTTGGTACTGATCCCCTATTAATCCATTTTGGTCAAGATACGTCAAAAAATTTAAACGCGTAAGATTTACGGGGATGCCATGGAAAAAAACTATTCAACCTTTCCGGGTCAGCATCACCAAGGAACAGAGGCATCGCCTTCGCCAAGGGTTCCACCTGGAGAATTGTATACCAATGTGCCTTACTACTGAGGTAAGTTCTCAATTTCACGTCCTGATATACTAAGTCCGCAAACTGTTAGTGTAAAGTTGGAATGACTACATGCTTTTGCTTGTGTTAGCATGTGTGCTTTATTGTGGATGTTTGTTCATTATAATAAATTGTTGAAACTTTATTTGTTTGTCTTGCTTCACTGCTACTGTTGTATTGTATGCGTGTCTGTACGTATTGTAGGGATTAGTCATTATAAAGGGTGAATTTACAGTTTGCATTTCAGTTACTTGAGATAGGGCCATATGTTATACTGTCTATTTCTACTTTTTGTTAGTTGATATTTGCAGTATAATCAACCAGCAAATTGGTATGTATTGTAGGCATTGGTCTATGTAACAACAGTAATTTTAAATGTCAGATTATTCTATTAATCAGTGACCTTTGAACATTATAAAGGGATCCATTTACAAAAGCCTTTTCTACCTTACATAAGAGCTTTCATTGGGCTTCTCTGTTATAATTTTCAGACATTGTAACCCATGCTCATCTTCGCTGCAATCCTCTTTTCCTGAAAATAAAATTTCAGTGGATGTTGGTTTTGTCAGTATTCGAATTTAAGACATTGGTGTCATTGTCTAAAACTTTTATTTTAGCGGATAGTTTTTGGTTTTGCCTTTGTTTGGTATTGACTTAAGATGAACAAGTATTCTCAAATTTTCTTAAAACCGAAAGATCTTCTTGCTTGTCTTTGTGTGTGTGTCCGCGCGCGCGCGCATGTACTGTCTATGTTCTTTTCCTGACTTCCTGTGTCTTTACTTTTTCTTCATCTCCTTTTTTGATCGTCTTTCATTGTTTAGGGGTTGGTGAGACAAATTACCACGCTATCTTGTTCTGTGCATCATCTTGTTCAATTCAGTTCTAATAGGGATTTATAAAGGGTCGTATTAGTGTGGAATTGTGAGGCTTCGTTTTCTAAAGGAGATGTAATAAAATTGGACCAGATGAATCACAAATTACTATCTTGATTGCCATTTTTAAGAGACTATTATGTGTCATTTGTTTGTGAATTTGTCTCTTGTTAGTGCCTGTTGTTCCCGTTAAAGGTTGAAATTTATGGATTGTTGCATGTTCATATTCTTTTTTTTTTTTTTGGCATATCTTTGTTATTTCTTATTTTGCTTCTTGGATTTGCATTAATTGGTGAAAAACGAAAGTTTATTTTCATTCTATTCTCTTTTTTCTTTAATCAAGGTTTAACTAACTGGAGCATTCTGCCTTGCTTGATTGACAAGCAAACATTCTGACATTCTGTCTTGGTAGATGTCTGGACTTGATATCAGAGCTTTGTCATTGGTCCTACTTAAGAGTTGTTTGGTTATTGGTGTTTGGCTTTGGGCAACTTCTCGTAATAACATGGGCTAAATATTTTGTAAGGTTAGCTATATACTTGGTTTAAAATGATACTTAAGTTGTAGTTAATAGAGGGTTCCATGCCCTGTTCTTTTTTTGAGGAAAAGCTGAATGTAGTTCTGATGATATTGGTGCTTTTGTTGTTTTTGGCTCATTGGTATTTGAATTTCTGCTTGTATTGTTTGATTTGCTTGTCTGCTTGTTATCTTGATTTGCTTTAGGTGCCTAATTGGTCTGTTGAATTTAGTGTATATTTTTTTTGTGTCACTAGTTTGACCTTATTTCTTAATTCCAATTAGCATTGACTTTTCTTTTGCTTGATGTAGAGCGATCAATTGAATTATGGATGGGTGTGTCATTCAGGTGTATGACAGCTTATTGGACGCAGATGCCTTTTGTGGTTCTCGTGATTGCGTGATTGCAGACTATATAAAATCTGGCTTGGTGAATATGTTAGCTGTGCTTTTACAGCTACTTCTGTTGATCTGCTCCTTTAAGATGTGGTTCATTTCTGAGTGCTAGTTGTTACAACTGCTGATCTAGGCTAGTCTTTGTATCTTTCTTGGGAAACAGTTTTCCGGTTTGAATTTAATTTGTACTAGTAGTTTTGATCACATAATTAGCAAGTGAAATGCTTTAGCTATTTTGCTCATGTGTATAGTTGTTGTATTTGCTTACTTTCTTGATCTTGTTATTCATACTGAGCCTGCTAAATAATGACCTCTAAAGCTAACTATGGACAATATCTCTATCTTTTGGTATGAAGTTTATGTACGTGTGTTATGTTTTTATATTTCTTTATTTTGTCATAAGTTTAGAGCACAATTGCTGCAAAAGAAACTGTCAAGGAAAACTG